AATATATTGTCGGAAAAAAAAGATTTACATCACTCTCCCTGAGCAGTACTCTCCCTCTGCAGCACTCTCTACAATGCCATCTCTGTTTCTAAAAAAATAAAGAAGAGACCTTTTGAGTCACCCTTAAACCTAAGATGGCCACATACAAATAGAGATGTAGAAAGTGATCACATTAGAGTAAGCATAACACCTGCTACTAGCATAAAGGCTAAAGTATATAATTCAGTTTTCCCCTGGAGAGGTTCAGGTAGAGAGGTGCATCAGGCACAGGAGGTACTCGGCACTCAATGATTACCTGAAAAAGCCCAGCATCAGGACAACCTACCCGGCAAGCTTTGACATTCCAGATGAGTGGCAATCTGATGAACCCCTCATTTATAGTGGCACATATTTCTAACCAAAATACATTGAGGGGAATTTATCAAAACTGGAGCAGACAAAACCTGGAACAGTTGCGACCAAACCAATCAGCTTCTTTCTTTCATTTTCAAAGCTTAAGTGGTTACTTTAGGACAACTGCTCCAGATTCTGTCTACTCCAGGTTTGACAAATTCTGCCCATTTTGCTTTTATACAGAGAAGCTGTCACTGCTGTTTGTACAGTCTTTTCTGACAGAAATTCTCTGATAGACTAACAATTTTTTTAAGCCAGCAATAGGCAATCAGTAGATTCCCTGCTGTTGTAAAGCTAAGGGTCCAGCAATGCCCATCAAGAGTGTATAGCCAGCCATAATGCTGGAGGTAAGCCTTGCCTAGAAATCAGATCAGTCCTGGCAGAGAGGACTGTGCACACCGCAGAAAAGGATTCTATCTACAAGTGGTTATGTTTGGAATAAAATCTGGGAGAAACAGAAGAAGAAAATACAGACAGGTAATGTACTGCTTTAGGATAACTACTATGGAAAAATAAGCACTCTTTATGGCCTTTGCACAAACGTCCACAAATACACTAAAACCTTAGAAGAACCAGACATCTGCTTTCCATACCTTTCTCATAACAAATGTATGCTCCTTGGTGAATCAAAGTTTCACGTTAAGTTTCGTACTAGAGGAAGACAAAATTGGAGAACGGAAGCGCCACTACCTGGCGCAATAAATGTGGTGAGGCTTGGTGAGAGGGATAAGTGATGTACTCACCTATGGTAGGTGGATCATTCGATTTTTAGGACGGCCGTCAGATGGAATGGAGCAGTTGTGGGAGACGGTCCTTCTTGGGATGGATGGTGTAGCGAGTTAAGTTTCGTACGAAGACAAGTGACAAGAAATAACACATTGGCACTTAGGCAGTTTTGCTAGTTCATTCTATCCCATTCAGCTGAACAATTCTATGGACATATGATGTACATGCTAATCCAAGATGTACCCGATATACTCTTTGAAATACAGTACCTAATATTAAAAAAAAAATCATCCTTTACAAATCAATACATATATGTATAATTCTAGTGTACTGTATTTGTTTTCTTCATAAAAGATACAATTTCTGCTATAAAAATTAATTTGGCATATTCGAAATAATGTCTGACTGGATAATGAATAGAATAATTGAATAATGAATAGACTGGAATACACATTCTCGTGGTTCCTGTTGATGCAAAGCTTGTAGAATGCAGCACATATGCCCAAGCTTGCCTGTAGATGCCATGGTTCCAGCATTTAATCCATTGTACGTGCATTGATATCTTCTTCCACTGCAGAAGTTCATGGTTTAATTTTCCATAACTGTGAAAAGAATGTCAACAGTGAGACAAATCATTGTTACCTGGATTGTAAAGTACTGTACATAATACCACAGAAAAGATTATCGATACAAGCGTAAATCATACATTTGAATAAAACAAGTCAAGTAAAGAAGATCAATATTTTCTAATGAATACACAAATATATCAACTCATGTATTGTTATATGTTACATTTATGATGGCCAATCACAGCGATTACAGATGTAAACACTGTACATGTTTACGTTTGAGAGCCCTCTCCTTCCTCCTCTGCCAATGATTCTCCACTGATTCTCAGTGTATGTAACACTGCTCCCACTGACCACCAATGAATGGTGGGCAAACTGAGCAACTGGAGGGTAAACTGAACAATAAGGTAGTACACAGAGCATATTGACCATAAAGGGTTCACAATGACCACCAATATTATGGGGGGGGGGGGGAAAAACTTTTTAAACATTTATAAATTGACCACCAACTTTTAAAGGGCATGTACCACCAACACCAACTAACCCCTGACCACTGACATCTACAAGCTGTCCTGTGCATTCCATAGTCCCGGCCACTGCACTCTGACTGCTTCACTGTATAAGCTATGTTCTAAACTTAACAATTTGGGGGGCATTACCACCTACCGTCCATGGCCGTTCCTCTATGGCCGGACGGGAGCCTTATAGGAGCGGGAGGGCGTCCTTCCCCTCCCCCCGCTCGTCCACGGCGCCCAGCGCGCACACGAGTGGGGAACTGTCAGAAATGTAAACAGCCAGTGATGGCTGTTTACATTCAAGCCATCCGGCATCTCTAGAGATGCCCGATCGCTTGTGGTAGCTGCAGGTGTGCGCACAGGACGTACTGTATATTACATCACTTCCTCACTCAGTGTCACTCTCCGGCAACAGATGCCGGTGAGAAGCTGCTGAAGCAGATCTCTGCTTCATCAGCATCTCTATGGGTCCCTGATGTCTCCATAAAGAGGACCTGTTATGTGAATTGGCTATCACATGGGTGTTTCTTAGTCCCCTATGTGATAGCAATAAAGTTAAGTGTAAAAAAAAGGAAGCTTAATGGAAGCTTAAAAAAAAGTCAAATAATTTTTTAAAAAATAACAAAAACATTATTTAAAAGTCCGTCGCCCCCCATATACACACGCAAATATGCGCTGGATACGCCTACGTGCGAGAACGACGATTAGGCCTATTGTGCCGCACATGTTACATATGCCCGCGAGCGTCGGAGTGAGAGCAATAAGTTTAGGGCCATTAATTACTGATAACACTAAACTGATAAGCGGTAAAAGCTTTTTTTTTTTTTTAAAGATTAAAGTTTATTAGACAAAACTCTTGTCTGAAGTTTTCGTTTTCACAAGTTACAGAAATTAGACAGTACAAGACAAAAATACAAAACCAAGAAACAAAATATTTTTACAAGAATAGAGACTCTATACTGTAGATTATAGTGCAAAATAGAGACATCCCAGGGCACCAAAGGGGGGGCATTGCCATAAGGGGAGGTAGAAGGCACGTGTGGCTGGAAATGTTCTCAAATCAACCAATCATGTAGTATGTGAGGCCATGTAGTAGTATTCAATGTGCGGAAGACCAACACCTCCATCCCGCTTGGGACGAGTCAGAATGTCATATCGGACACGCGGTCTCCTACCCTTCCAAATATAGTGGGTTAAACCTTGCTTAAGGGAGCGGAAAAAAGATTTAGGCACATCGATGGGGACGGTCTGGAACACATAGAGCAGTCTTGGTAGGATATCCATTTTGTATAGGGCCATGCGGCCAAACCACGAGTGGGACTTTGTAAGCCAGGTTTTGAGTTTTTGGGAGATAGAGGATAACAACGGTTTATAGTTCAAATCATAAAGAAGGTCGAGGTTGGGGGGCAAGAGGACACCTAGATATTTCAGAGCTTTTGTCTGCCATTGGAAGGGATATGAAGCCTGTATCCAGGCAACCTCCCGCTGATCCAACGTGACGTTAAGAGCTTCAGACTTGTGTGCGTTCACCTTAAAGTTACTCAGCGTGCCATAAGTTTGGAATTCCCGTAGTAGAGCGGGAAAGGCATCACGAGGGTTGGATATGTATAGCAGGAGGTCGTCCGCAAACAGGCCCAATTTGTATTCTCTGGGACCTAGAGTCACTCCTCTGATAAGGTGGTTATTTCTAATCGCTATCGCCAGATGTTTCATAGCCAGAATGTATAAAAATGGGGAGAGTGGGCAACCCTGACGTGTGCCATTATGTACTTGGATAGGGTCAGAGAGGATACCATTAACTTTGATCCGTGCCGAGGGCTTATCATATAAGGCCGCAATTTTAGCAAGTAATATTCTGGGGAGGCCAATCTGAGTAAGGGTCTTGAAGAGGAAGGGCCAGCTCAGGCGGTCAAAGGCCTTTTCCGCGTCGATAGGCAAAGGGGAATGTTTTGTTTCTTCACCCAGGACATAAGTGTTAGGGATTTTATGGTGTTGTCTCTGGCCTCTCTATTGGGTACAAAGCCTACCTGATCCAGGTGTATCAGGGAAGGGATAGCTGATTTGAGTCGGTTGGTTATCATTTTTGCGTAAATTTTTAAGTCAATATTGATGAGGGAAATCGGTATATAACTGCTGCAATTCGATGGGTCTTTATGTTCTTTCGGGATGACAGTAATGTGGGCCTCCTGAGACTGAGGGGAGAAGGGGCAGGAATCAGATATTGCGTTGAAGGTGGATAACAAAATGGGTGATAGAGAGTCTCGGAATTGAGTATAGAAAGGCGACATATAACCGTCCGGGCCCGGGCTTTTAGCTGAGGGTAGGGAATCAATGGTCCCAGTGATTTCTAGTAAGGTGAAGGGTTCGGAGAGAGAGGCAATAGAAGATTCTGATAATGTAGGTAAGCCGGTAGAGGAAATATACGCATTAATGTCTTCAAGTGAGGGTCCAGAGGAGGGGGAGAGTCGGGTGCAATGTTGTATAAAGAGGAGTAGTAATGGTGGAATGCTTTGGCTATTTGTTCAGAGGTGGTGGCCCGGCCTTGTAAAGGACAAATGATTTTGGGTAAAAAGGTGCGTGCCTGTCTACACCTGACCGACCTAGCCAATAGCCGTCCACACTTGTCCCCGAATTCGTGAAAGGTGCAGAGGGTGGCATCCCGATATTACACGAAAATTAATTTGGCATATTCGAAATAATGTCTGACTGGATAATGAATAGAATAATTGAATAATGAATAGACTGGAATACACATTCTCGTGGTTCCTGTTGATGCAAAGCTTGTGGAATGCAGCACATATGCCCAAGCTTGCCTGTAGATGCCATGGTTCCAGCATTTAATCCATTGTACGTGCATTGATATCTTCTTCCACTGCAGAAGTTCATGGTTTAATTTTCCATAACTGTGAAAAGAATGTCAACAGTGAGACAAATCATTGTTACCTGGATTGTAAAGTACTGTACATAATACCACAGAAAAGATTATCGATACAAGCGTAAATCATACATTTGAATAAAACAAGTCAAGTAAAGAAGATCAATATTTTCTAATGAATACACAAATATATCAACTCATGTATTGTTATATGTTACATTTATGATGGCCAATCACAGCGATTACAGATGTAAACACTGTACATGTTTACGTTTGAGAGCCCTCTCCTTCCTCCTCTGCCAATGATTCTCCACTGATTCTCAGTGTATGTAACACTGCTCCCACTGACCACCAATGAATGGTGGGCAAACTGAGCAACTGGAGGGTAAACTGAACAATAAGGTAGTACACAGAGCATATTGACCATAAAGGGTTCAAATAATTTGGGGGGGGGGGGAAACACATTTTTAACAGTTATTAGGCACTCACTAGTGATCACCAACATGTAAGACAGCACACACAATTGACCACCAACTTTTAAAGGGCATGTACCACCAACACCAACTAACCCCTGACCACTGACATCTACAAGCTGTCCTGTGCATTCCATAGTCCCGGCCACTGCACTCTGACTGCTTCACTGTATAAGCTATGTTCTAAACTTAACAATTTGGGGGGCATTACCACCTACCGTCCATGGCCGTTCCTCTATGGCCGGACGGGAGCCTTATAGGAGCGGGAGGGCGTCCTTCCCCTCCCCCCGCTCGTCCACGGCGCCCAGCGCGCACACGAGTGGGGAACTGTCAGAAATGTAAACAGCCAGTGATGGCTGTTTACATTCAAGCCATCCGGCATCTCTAGAGATGCCCGATCGCTTGTGGTAGCTGCAGGTGTACGCACAGGACGTACTGTATATTACATCACTTCCTCACTCAGTGTCACTCTCCGGCAACAGATGCCGGTGAGAAGCTGCTGAAGCAGATCTCTGCTTCATCAGCATCTCTATGGGTCCCTGATGTCTCCATAAAGAGGACCTGTTATGTGAATTGGCTATCACATGGGTGTTTCTTAGTCCCCTATGTGATAGCAATAAAGTTAAGTGTAAAAAAAAGGAAGCTTAATGGAAGCTTAAAAAAAAGTCAAATAATTTTTTAAAAAATAACAAAAACATTATTTAAAAGTCCGTCGCCCCCCATATACACACGCAAATATGCGCTGGATACGCCTACGTGCGAGAACGACGATTAGGCCTATTGTGCCGCACATGTTACATATGCCCGCGAGCGTCGGAGTGAGAGCAATAAGTTTAGGGCCATTAATTACTGATAACACTAAACTGATAAGCGGTAAAAGCTTTTTTTTTTTTTAAAGATTAAAGTTTATTAGACAAAACTCTTGTCTGAAGTTTTCGTTTTCACAAGTTACAGAAATTAGACAGTACAAGACAAAAATACAAAACCAAGAAACAAAATATTTTTACAAGAATAGAGACTCTATACTGTAGATTATAGTGCAAAATAGAGACATCCCAGGGCACCAAAGGGGGGGCATTGCCATAAGGGGAGGTAGAAGGCACGTGTGGCTGGAAATGTTCTCAAATCAACCAATCATGTAGTATGTGAGGCCATGTAGTAGTATTCAATGTGCGGAAGACCAACACCTCCATCCCGCTTGGGACGAGTCAGAATGTCATATCGGACACGCGGTCTCCTACCCTTCCAAATATAGTGGGTTAAACCTTGCTTAAGGGAGCGGAAAAAAGATTTAGGCACATCGATGGGGACGGTCTGGAACACATAGAGCAGTCTTGGTAGGATATCCATTTTGTATAGGGCCATGCGGCCAAACCACGAGTGGGACTTTGTAAGCCAGGTTTTGAGTTTTTGGGAGATAGAGGATAACAACGGTTTATAGTTCAAATCATAAAGAAGGTCGAGGTTGGGGGGCAAGAGGACACCTAGATATTTCAGAGCTTTTGTCTGCCATTGGAAGGGATATGAAGCCTGTATCCAGGCAACCTCCCGCTGATCCAACGTGACGTTAAGAGCTTCAGACTTGTGTGCGTTCACCTTAAAGTTACTCAGCGTGCCATAAGTTTGGAATTCCCGTAGTAGAGCGGGAAAGGCATCACGAGGGTTGGATATGTATAGCAGGAGGTCGTCCGCAAACAGGCCCAATTTGTATTCTCTGGGACCTAGAGTCACTCCTCTGATAAGGTGGTTATTTCTAATCGCTATCGCCAGATGTTCCATAGCCAGAATGTATAAAAATGGGGAGAGTGGGCAACCCTGACGTGTGCCATTATGTACTTGGATAGGGTCAGAGAGGATACCATTAACTTTGATCCGTGCCGAGGGCTTATCATATAAGGCCGCAATTTTAGCAAGTAATATTCTGGGGAGGCCAATCTGAGTAAGGGTCTTGAAGAGGAAGGGCCAGCTCAGGCGGTCAAAGGCCTTTTCCGCGTCGATAGGCAAAGGGGAATGTTTTGTTTCTTCACCCAGGACATAAGTGTTAGGGATTTTATGGTGTTGTCTCTGGCCTCTCTATTGGGTACAAAGCCTACCTGATCCAGGTGTATCAGGGAAGGGATAGCTGATTTGAGTCGGTTGGTTATCATTTTTGCGTAAATTTTTAAGTCAATATTGATGAGGGAAATCGGTATATAACTGCTGCAATTCGATGGGTCTTTATGTTCTTTCGGGATGACAGTAATGTGGGCCTCCTGAGACTGAGGGGAGAAGGGGCAGGAATCAGATATTGCGTTGAAGGTGGATAACAAAATGGGTGATAGAGAGTCTCGGAATTGAGTATAGAAAGGCGACATATAACCGTCCGGGCCCGGGCTTTTAGCTGAGGGTAGGGAATCAATGGTCCCAGTGATTTCTAGTAAGGTGAAGGGTTCGGAGAGAGAGGCAATAGAAGATTCTGATAATGTAGGTAAGCCGGTAGAGGAAATATACGCATTAATGTCTTCAAGTGAGGGTCCAGAGGAGGGGGAGAGTCGGGTGCAATGTTGTATAAAGAGGAGTAGTAATGGTGGAATGCTTTGGCTATTTGTTCAGAGGTGGTGGCCCGGCCTTGTAAAGGACAAATGATTTTGGGTAAAAAGGTGCGTGCCTGTCTACACCTGACCGACCTAGCCAATAGCCGTCCACACTTGTCCCCGAATTCGTGAAAGGTGCAGAGGGTGGCATCCCGATATTACACGTGAGAAAGGGATATAATCCGCATGAGTTCGGAGCGAGTATCCGCCAACTTCTGGAGGGTCACAGAATCGGGGTTAGATTTATGCTTTCGCTCCAGATCACGAATGTCTGAAAGGAGAGACGGGATCTGGTGTGATTTAGCTTTTTTGTGGCGAGCCCCATGCTTAATTAGGATGCCTCTCAAGACACCCACTTAAGAGGAGGGGAGGATGGATCCTGCTCGTGGACAAGTTGGAAGGCAGTTATACTATTCTGAACATCAGAGAGCACAACAGGGTCACGCAATAGACTCTCGTTCAATCTCCAGGTGGGAAAACGTCTAGATGTGTCAGGTACAGATAGGGTAAAAAAAAAGGGGGAAATGATCAGACCATAATTTAGTGCCAATATGAGACTGAGGGCGCCAACTAAGTAGTGAGTGTGAGGTGAAAAAAATAATCAACACAGCTGTAAGTGCGGTGGACAGGAGAATAAAAAGTGTAATCTTTTGTAGTTGGGTGTAAGGTTCTCCATAGGTCAACGAGCTGTGATCGATGCAGACGGGATTTAATCGAGTTGATAGCAGAGAAGGAGACATGTGTTTTATGTGATGAGGAGTCCAAAGTGGGGTCAAAGACTAAATTGAAGTCACCCCCCAGTATCAATAAACCAGATGTAAAGGATTCTAATTTTTTTTTTTAAATCCTCTTTATTAAAAAAAAAAATTCCGACAATCAACAATAATTATTTACAACCACATAGTTAATAGTGTAATTTACAACAACATGATTATACATCCACATACATACATACAATTCATATTTAAGAAACTGCTATTTTCGCAATTTAGTCCATATTTTAACATTTACATTTCATGGTCAACCCTGAACGGTCTTCATATTATATATGCCAAATCTTAAATCATAACCTATCTAACTTCCTTCACCCTCCCCATTTATATCGTGATATTTTCTACCTCCGTATTTAGTGCTTCATATTAATTAATTTTGTATATTATTTAAGTGTTTACTCCCGTATTATGTAGAAAAAAAAAAAAGAAAACTCCCTACTACATATTTATAGTGTATATTTTATATATTGCATATTTGTTACCTATCCTATCCTCCTCTCTTTATATATTATTTTTAGTGTTTATTCCCATATTATACCAAAAAAAAAAAAACC